TCGAAGACGAAGAGGGCGGGTTTCGAGGGTGTAGGGTATACGTGTTGAATGACTCGCGGGCAAGTAAGAGCGCACAGCCTTAAAATGGTTGTTGTTGTTGTTGTTGCTGTTGCTGTTGCTGTTGCTGTTGCTGTTGTTATTGTTAGTAAGGGCGGGGCGCCCCGACCCGTGTCCCACGACCCCCCCCCCACAACTTTCACAACAACCGGAATTCCTCAGGATTCCTAGGAGTTCCGAAGGATCCCTAGGCCTAAGGATTCCTATGAATTCCGGAGGATTCCTAGGAATTCCTAAGGATTCTTAGGAATGCCACAGGATTCCTAGGAATTCCTAAGGATTCCTAGGAATTCCTAAGGATTCCCATAAATTTGTAAGGATTCCTAGAATTTCCTAAGGATCCGTGGGAATTCCGAAGGGTCCCAAGGAATTCTTCAGGATTCCTAGGAATTGCGAATGATTCTTAGGTCCCTCAGGATTCCTACGAATTCTCAGGAATTCCTAAGGATTCCTAAGGATCCCTAGGAATTCCTAAGGATTCGTAGGATTTCCGAAGGATCCTTAGGAATTTCATAAGATTCCTAAGGATTCCTAAGGATTCTTAGGAATTCCTAAGGCTTCCTAGGAATTCCGAACGAATCCGAGGAATCCTTCAGGATTCCTAGGAATTCCTAAGGATTCTCAGGAATTCCGGAGGATTCCTATTCATTCCGAAAGATTCCCAGGAATTCCTAAGGGTTCCTAGGAATTCCTAAGGATTCCTAGCAATTCCTAAGGATCCCTAGGAATTCCAAAGGATTCCTAAGAATTCCTAAGGATTCCGAGGAATTCTGGAAGATTCCTAGGAATTCCGAAGGGTTCCTAGGAATTCCTAAGGATCCCTAAGAAGTCCTAAGGATTCTTATGAATTCCTAAGGATTCGTAGGAATTCCGAAGGATACCTAGGACTTTCTAAGGATCCCCAGGAATTCCTAAGGATCCCTAGGGATTCCTAAGGATTCCGAGGGATTCGAACGGATTCCGGAGAATTCCGAAGGATCCCAGGAATTCCTAAGGATTCCTAAGGATTCTTAGGAATTCTTAGGAATTCCTAGGGATTCCTAGGAAGTCCTTCGGATCCTTAGGAATTCCGGAGGATTCCTAGGAGTTCCTAAGGATTCCTAGGAATTCCTAAGGATTCCTCGGAAATCCTAGGAATTCCGAAGGATTCTTATGAATTCCTAAGGATTCCGATGAATTCTGGAAGATCCCTAGGAATTCCGAAGGGTTCCTAAGAATTCCTAAGGATCCCTAAGAAGTCCTAAGGATTCCTATGAATTCCTAAGGATTCGTAGGAATTCCGAAGGATACCTAGGAATTTCTAAGGATCCCCAGGAATTCCTAAGGATCCCTAGGGATTCCTAAGGATTCCGAGGGATTCGAAAAGATTCCGGAGAATTCCGAAGGATCCCAGGAATTCCTAAGGATTCCTAAGGATTCTTAGGAATTCTTAGGAATTCCTAGGGATTCCTAGGAAGTCCTTCGGATCCTTAGGAATTCCGGAGGATTCCTAGGAGTTCCTAAGGATTCCTAGGAATTCCTAAGGATTCCTCGGAAATCCTAGGAATTCCGAAGGATTCTTCTGAATTCCTAAGGATTCGTAGGAATTCCGAAGGGGTCCTAGGAATTCCTCGCTTCGCTGGTGCACACATGGTTTTTTCTGGCAGGAATTCGTTGGTGCCAGAGAGGAGGTCCGCAGATGTTCACAGAAATCGAATTCAAACGGCGTTGTTGTGGTGTTGCGGGGGGGGGGGTAGTTGTTGTGGTTGTTGCCGGTGGGGGGGGTCCCGACGGGTCGGCGCTGGCCGCCCTTGCTTTGTTGCTGTTGTTGTTGTTGTTGTTGCTGCTGTTGTTGTTGTTGTTGAACATTATTCCTTCTAAAGAATTATTATTGTTGGGACCCCTGGTGCGCGACCTCTGCGCCGCGCCTAGGCCGCAGCTACATTTTCATCATTTTTTCGCGAAAGCTTCAGAAAAGTGGATGAGCTCCGGATCCGGTTTTTTGTTGACGCTCGTTTTCCCTTGCAAAAAACAATAGAAAATGAAAATTCTTGTTTTTACTTGATCAAATTGCAAGAATCCCTTGCAAAAAATAAGGTAAAGTGGACATTCGTGCGCGCAAGACGAAATCCTTCCAAAACCTTAGGTTTCGTAACGATTTTAACATAAAAACATCAAAAACCCAATGGTTTTCTCAGAAAAAATTGTCAAAATGTCCTTCCGCGCGCTCTTGCGGATTCCTAGGAAACCCACCAGATTTTAAACATTTCTGTTAAAAGGGCCTTTGCGAGGAACCTTTTCAGGTGCTTCGACCTTCTGCAACAACGGTTGCGAGCCTACGAGGGCCACCATCCCTTGCAAAAAATGACACGAAGTGCACATGCGCGCGGCCGCCGCGCGCGCGTGCCGAAATCCTGCCAAACATAATGTGATTTCAATAATTTCAAGATGCGATGTTCCGAAAACATATGCAAACGCAAGACTTTCTCATCCGAAAAATATCAAAATCCACCCGCGGGCTCTTCATGAATCTTTAAAACCCAAGATGGCCCCAAGAGGCGCTCAAGATGGCCCCAAGAGGCGCCCATGAGGCCGCAAGAGGCGCCCAAGATGGTCCCAAGAGGCCCCAAGAGGACTCCAAGAGGCCCCCAAGAGGTTCCAAAGAGGCTCCAAGTTGGCTCCAAGAGGCCCCCAAGATGGCCCCAGGAGGCGTCCAAGCGGCTCCAAGAGTCCTCCGGGAGGATCCAATAAGCCCCCAAGAGGCCCCAACATGCTTTCAAGAAGCCCCCCAAAGCCTCTCAAGAGGACCCCATGCGGCGCCAGGAGGCTTCCCCCCTTCCCCACTTCCTCTCTCTCCTTCTCTTTGTCTCTCGCTCTTTCTCTGCTTCATATCTATCATACGTAACACATCTACTTGTGTAATCGCCTTCCCAGGAATTTGCCTCAAAAATGTGACCAACTATCTTGGCACTGCGTACCATCTCACGTGTACCGTGTACCACATCTTCTCAGGTTGCCTCACACATGTGACGAATCTCTTTCTATCTCTCTCTCCACTGGCTCTCTGTCTTGCTCTCTCTCTCTCTCTCTCTCTCTCTCTCTCTGTCTCTCTGTACTATGTATGTCATACGCAACAAATGCACCATGCGGGGCACATGCGGGGCCCAAACAAGTGATCAACCTCTGCGGGTGTGTACTCCACGCCAGTGTAGTATCCACGATCGTCCGCGCGCCACGAAGTGAAGTGTCCTGACGTCATAGGGCGGGAAGCTGGGTGTGGGTGGTTCCCGAGAGTCGTGTGGATGTTTGGTAGAGCTTGCATTGCCCCCCCACGAAGTGGGGGTATTGGCTGGCGTCGCATGAAAACCCTGGCACTGGGGAGAACACTGAGCGTTCGGGTAAAATGATTGTTGTTGTTGTTGTTAGTGTAATTGTTATTGTTATTGTTAGTGTTATTGTTATTATGATTGTTATTGTTCTTGTTATTGTTAGTGTTTTCTTGTTGTTTGGGGACCGGTTCTGGCGGTCCCCCAAACAGCTCGAGCGTGAGCTTCATTTTCAATGAAATTCTAGCCAGCGCCTCGGCGACATTCAACAACAACAACAACAACAACAACAATAACAATAACAACAACAAAAACAACAACAACAACAACAACAACAATCATTTTAAGACTGTTCGCCCTTATCTGCTCGAGGGTCCAATAACGCGTATTTCCCAAACCCTCGATACCCGCCCTCTTCGTCTTCGATCGAACCCCTTTTGGGGGGTATACCTTTCTTCCCTGCAGGCTGGGCCCCGGCAAGCGGCGGGGCGGCCGCGGACCGTCGGCCTGGCCAGCGGCAGCGCTGATCGGCGGGGCAACCGCGGACCGTCGACCCGACCCCAGGAGGGACGGACAGGGGACCGACCACGACGACGACGTCGACGACGACGACGTCGAGGACGACGGCGACGACGACGACGACGGCGACGACGAGCGAAAGAACGACAGCAGGGCCACGAAGGACACGTAGTAGGCCACGAAGGGCGACAGCGGGGACACGAAGGCAATGCGTATGGGGCCACGAAGAGCGCGAACGAGCGGAGGCCACGAAGGGCAGATAATGCGGGGCCACAGAAGGCAACGATAGGGCCACTGAGGGTAGCAACTGGGCCACGTAAGACAGTGAGGGGGCCACAAACGGCAACAGCGGGGCCACGAATGGCATGCACATGGGGCCACAACAGGCGCGACTCCTGGGTGCTTGGGTGTCGGGAGCGCGGCGCTTGAGCAAATTGCAGGAAATTCCAACGCAAGGGCGTTATTCTTCAGCAAATTGCAAGCAAGTCTCCCGCGAGAGCGCGACTCCAGAGCGCCGGGAGAGCGATTCCTGAATAAATTGTAAGGAAGTCCCAAGCGAGAGCGCGGTTCCTGAATAAAATGCGAGGAGGTCTCGGGCTGAGCGGGGGTCCTGGCTAAATTGTGAGGAACTCTCAGGCGGTAGCCGTTGTTGTTATAACCCCGGGGGCCAGGGGGCAGTTTGAGCATCAAGATTTTCTTTGTCAAAAAACCAGGTGCGAGCGTCGAGGGGCACACTTTGATGGAGAAAAACAGCATGCACCGGTGAGGGGGGATCTACAATGATTATTTTCAGAAGTGTGAGTTCAGCAGCAACAGCAACAACAATTACTACAACAATAACAACAGCAACAACAACAACAACAGCAACAGCAACAACAACAACGCAACAAACAGAATTCCCACCACGAATTCCATATTCAGCCACGCGCGCAGGGACAATGAATGACCGTTCGGCCCCCTCACTCTGATAATATACCGAGAACGGGGGGCCTTTTATACATACAGAGGTTAGCAGTGGCTTGCGCGCTCAGGTTTGGCTCCCCGCGCCCCCCCCCCCCCCCGAACGCCGCGCATCAGAGGTCACCCTTGCCGAGGGCAACTCTCGCGCGCAGACGGCAGGCGGGCCGGGCCGCGGAGGGCGCGAGCGACGAGGGCGGGGCCTCGAGCCGGTCGCAGGAGGTTCGCTGCAGAGCTGTGCACTGGTCCGAGGAGTGCACGTTCCTGCCCTCCGACCTCGTCGCTCGAATGGGCGGGGACGTGATCAACGGCAGCGCGGACTGCGCCGTCGTGGTGGCCGCGACCAGCCAGGCAACGGCGCAGAGGTTCTGGAAGGATCTGAAAGGCATGGGTCGGAGGATCGACGCTCACAGCTTCGTGGTCAGAGCGACCTCGATGCCAGCGGAGGAGGTCGCTGGCCAACTTGGCAGCAAGACCAGCATGTATTTCCTCCACAGCAAGGGGCGCAACAAAAAACCGAACTACAACATTGGACCAGCGAGAATCCATATCCAACACCTGGGCTCCAAGGGCACGTTGCTGTGCGACGTTCGCAATAGATCTGGCTGCGCATTCGACGCGGTGTTGTTCAAAGATATGCCAGCACAGCACCGCGACGTGTGGCGGCGCGCGAAGCTGCCGGTCGGCATGCTGACGTACGAGATGGCGCAGACGCTGGTGCACCTGTACAACCTGCGCTTCAACGTCACGGCGCCGGCCCAGGCCTCGCAGACGAGGCCCGCGAACGCCTTCGCCGCCTTCGTGACCACGGCCCTGCTGTGCAACGCGGTGACGGGCTACGGCATCACGGGCAGCGACTCCAACGAGCACGTCCTCATGCGCGAGCTCGCGAGCGGCCAGGCCGCCCTGGACCGCGGGGGCGCGGCCGCGGGCCCCGCCCGCGGCCCCCACCCGAGCTCCTTCGCCGACCGGGCCCACCGCTGCCTGCAGGCCAAGGCGCGCGCCGGCTGCATCCGCGTCGCCACGTAGGCCTCCTCCGCGGCGGGCTCCCGTCCCGTCGGCGCGGGGGACGCAGAGAGGCTCCGAGGCTCCGAAGAACAGGAGGAGGAGGAGGAGGAGGAGGAGGAGGAGGAGGATGGACCTCCTGCCCTGGCGCGTCGACCAGCGACCTGGCCGCTGCCGGCTCGCGAGGGGGGTCGCGGCCGTCGCTTTTGCGGGTCCAGGTCCGTCGGTTTCGGTCCCAGGCCGTTTTCACTAAAGGGAGGTTTACTAAAGGGAGGTTTGTCCACCGCCGAGGCCGGTGTTTGGCCATTGTGAAGACCTTGCGGCCGGTGCCGCCGACCCTGAGGAGGACGACGGCGAAGGGGAATCCCAGAGACCCGAGGCTCCGAAAAGTCGGAGCGGCTGCGTGTTGTTGTTTCCTAGTGTCGGCCTTTGGGAGCCCTTGACGGGCCCCAGGACCGTCAAAAAGCGACTCAGTCGGGGCCCTTGGGACGGGGGTTGCTGCAAACGGCGGTCAGTCAGAGCGCCGGATCTTGCAGGATCCTGCAGGGCCCGTGTCGCATCGACCCGGGCTTGGGCGCAGGGCCCCGCAGGATCCTGCAAAGCCTGACTGACCCGGGATTGCATGGACCCAAGTCAGTCGACCCCCGACTCAGGATGAAAATCTCAGGCCTAGAGGTTGACACCAACACGAATATCGGCGGTGTGCCTCCACCGAGGGCAGAAGATCCCGATCTCGGCGATGGTGGTAACATTCTGGCTGCCGAGGTGACCGACGGATCACCGCCCACGCCGAGATCCAGGATCGTCTGCCCCCCTGCGGAGGCAACCCCCTGTGTTGGTGTCGGTGCCCATGTCCAGGCCTCCAGGAACACTGGCCCTGGAAAGGCTGCCCAGGCCCCCAGGGGCACACGCACCGAAGAGGCTGGAGCGCCGCGTGCCCGGGAGCGCGCCCTCGCCTCCTCGCGCGCACGCGTGCCTCCCGCCGTCGTGGGCGCGGGCCTCGTCTCCTCGGCATCGGCCGCGCGCAGAGGGGGGCAGGGGGGAGGGGGGAAGGCTTCGTGGAAGCACCCCTCCTCCTCCTCCTCCTCCTCCTCCTCCTCCTCCTCCTCCTCCTCCTCTGTTCAGATGCAACTCCTGGGAGGTCAAGTTCTGATTTTGCCCTGGTCCGAAACTCGGCTTGATCCAGCTGAATCCCGCTCATTCTGGTTCAATCCCGCAAAAAGTCCCGCTTCATCCGGCTTACTCCTGCTTGGTCCGAGGCCCACTCCGGCGTAACAGCTCCCAAGTGGGGTTTAATATTCTTCCATCTTTCCAGCGAAAACCTCCCAGTAGTTGCCTCGTAACCTCTGCTTCTTGGAAGGCGCGGGGCTTGTCTGCAGATGTAGGGCCGGCGCCTTCTAAGAGGCGGCCTCCTTCTGAGAGGCCTTCCCCCGTCGCCCGACGCCCCTGTGCGCGCCGCCGATGGTCGGGCGAGGAGGGGGGGGTGGGAACGGTGGAGGCTACGCAAACGGGCGTGCGTGCAGCTGGCCTCGGCCCCGCCGCCTGGCGCACTGGCGCTTCCGGCGCCGGGAGGCGACTTTAGGACAACTTATGCTAGCTGCTTCGCTTGCCATCCCTCCCACTCGTCCCACCCGTTCTTTCGTTCCGCCCACAGGGGGCTTCCAGATGCGCCTCGTCGAGCAGGCATCGAAGGGTTGACCTCTCGCCCTCGGCGGAAGCCAGCGGAGGCCCCCCGGAAGCCTGGGAGCAGAACGAGATGGGGACGGACCCGCCGGCGGAAGCGTTCCGCAGAGATCAACGCCAGGGTGACCAAGGGTTTCTGGGGTCGGCCCTGTATTATGCCAGTGCCAGGTTCTGCACCCCACCTGACGATTCGGCTACACTTATGTAGGAGTGGCCTTTCGACAGAGTGACCCGTGGTGCGCGGATTTCTGGGGGGCGCAGGGGCAAACAATTATCCTGGCGAAGGGCCTGGCCATATGCATTTGAGAGTATCGCCGCTGAGGGTCTCGCCTTCGGTGATCTCCTTATGGGGCCACGAAGCGTGTAAGGGATGTGCCGAAAAGGGACGGGGACGCATGCGGGCGCAGCCATTGGGGCCTTCGGTGGCGCTCCATGTGGGGCCACGAAACGTGCGAGGGGTGTGCCAACATGGAGAGGGGCCGCCATGCGAACGCCGCCACTGGGGCCTTCGGTGGAGCTCCCTCTGTGAGGGGGGTGCCGAAATGGGCGGGGGGACACATGCAAATGTCGCCGGTGGGGCCTTCGGTGGAGCTCCGTGTGGGGCCACGAACCGCGTGTGGGGTGTGTGTGCCGACATGGGTGGGTGGAGACGCACGTGATCACAGCCATTTGGGCCTTCGCTGGGGCCCCCTTGTGGGGCCACGACACGCCGCACTGGGTGGCGCGGGACGCATGTGGTCACAGCCACTGGGGCCCTCGGTGGAGCTACCTTTGGGGTCACGAAGTGCCGTAATGTGTGTCGCGGGACGCATGTGGTCACAGCCATTGGGGCCTTCGGTGGAGCTCCCTTGTGGGCCACGAAGCGCCGTACTGGGTGGCGCGGGACGCATGTGGTCACACCCACTGGGGCCTTCGGTGCAGCTCCCCATGGGGCCACAACGCCGAATTGGGTGTCGCGGGACGCATGTTGTCACAACCATTGGGGCCTTCGGAGGAGCTCCGTATGGTGCCACGGAGCCGGAACGGGTGTCGCGGGACGCATGTGGTCACAGCCGATGGGGCTTTTGGAGGAGCTCCCCATGGGGCCACGGTGCGACGTGCTGGGTGGCGCGGGGCGCATGTGGTCACAGCCACTGGAGCTTTCGGCGGAGCTCCCTATGGGGCCACGGAGCGCCGTACTTGGTAGCGCGGGACGCGTGTGGTCACAGCCATTGGGGCCTTCGGTGGAGCTTCCTTCCGGGCCACGAAACGCCGTATTGGGTGGCGCGAGACGCATGGTCACAGCCATTGAGGCCTTCGGTGGAGCTCTGTATGGGGCCACGAAACGCCCGACTGTGTGTCGCGGGACGCGTGTGGTCACAGCCGTTGGGGCTCTCGGTGGCTTTCCCTATGTCAAGGGAGGAAAAACCGCCCCGACCCCGACAACTGGCGTTTACTAAACGGCCATGGGCGTTTACTAGACAGCCCTGCCCTGTTTGATTCATTTCGTGGGTGCGTTTCCTAACTGGCTTCGTTTGTCGGGGTGTTTTTTTATGTGGGGGATCTTCTGCCCTTTGGAGGTGGAGCTACCTTTGGGGTCACGAAGTGCCGTGCTGTGTGGCGCGGGATGCATGTGGTCACAGCTTTCTTGCGCCCTCGTTGGATCTTCCTATGGGGCCACGAAACGCCGTACTGGGCTGCGCAGGACGCATGTGGCCACAACCACTGGGGCCTTCGGCGGAGCTCCATATGGAGCCACGAAGCGCCGCACTGGGTGGCGCGGGACGCATGTGGCCACAGCATCCGAAGCCCCCGGTGAAGCTCCCAATGGGCCACGGAGCGCCGCACTGGGTGGCGCGGGACGCATGTGGTCACACCCACTGGGGCCTTCGGTGGAGCTCCCTACGGGGCCACGACACGCCGCACTGGGTGGCGCGGGACGCCCGTGGTCACACCCTCTGGAGCCTTCGGTGGAGCCCCGTATGGTGCCACGGAGCGCCGCACAGGGTGGCGCGGGACGAATTTGGTCACAGCTACTGGGGCCTTCGGTGGAGCTCCCTGTGGGGCTGCGGAATGTGGCCTTGGGTGCACTGATCTGGTGGATATGCGGAGGGCAGAGGCAGGGATGGGAGGAGGGAGGAGCGGGAGAAGGAGGAGGAGGAATGGAGGGGGGGGGAGGAAGGGAAGGCAAAGGAAGAACGCGTGGCGCTGTCTTCTCAAAACGGGGGCCGAACACGGTTGGGAAAACCGAGCGCGCAGGCCGCTGCTGCCGCAGTCTCGTCACGATCGGCAAGCCGTGCCCGAGGGCCCTCTTGCCTTTGGTCACTCTTTTAGCCGGCGGTAACCGGTGGTACAGTCGGGGCGCTGACTAAGGAACCCTATTCGTTGGGGAGGAGCTCGGTGTTCCTTGATCGTTGTACAGTTTGCCTTGCGTTTCCCTTAGGTTTCCCATGGGGGATCGAAGCTTAAGTTAAGGGAAACAGGGGTCTCGTTCCTTATTTAGGGTTCCTTAGGTCAACGCCCCGACTGTATCCCATAAGCTGCTCTGTCACCTGGGGCGCCTGTCCCGAGGGCGGCTGGAGAGCGCAATGCCCTGACGTGCCACCCTGAGTGTAGAAGCTCCCCGGCCGCCCTGGGACAGGCGCCCCCGACGGCGAAGCAGTGCGTGTCACACCGCTCGCTCTTCGCCCGCGAGCTCCTTGCACATACGTAGTCGGACAATGGGGTGGGCCTGGACCCATCCTCCTCCTCCTGCTCCTCCTCCTCCTCCTCCTCTCCCTCCTCCTCCTCCTCCTCCGCCTCCTCCTCCTCCTCCATCCCAGGAGCGGAAAAAAGGACGTACTCGTAAATGAATCCACGCTGGTTTCGAAAGTACGCATCGCGCGAGCGCTCGTATCGCGAGGCTGGCCTCGCAGATGGGGGGACCGCTTTCGTGTGCGCGGTTGGGCGCGCACGTCCTCTGGTGGCCTCCCTGTAGCCGGACGACGGGATGGGCCCGGACCCACCCCAGCTGCGATGAGGGCGCGGGCCCGTGGCCCGCTCCCCCCACCCCTCCCAGGCGGGATGGCGGGGCGGAGGCGCGCACGCGGCCGCAGACAGGCACACATGGCACAACACAGCGCAACGCAGAGCACACACACACATGCACACAGCACACACACACACACACGACACGAAGCACACAGCACCCACACCACGCTGCGCAGTGCAGCGCACCACAGCGCACGCGCGCGCACCCACGCTGGAAGCACGCGCGCGCACGCACGGACACGCGCGCATGCACGCACACTCTCTCTCTCTCTCGTTCTCTTTCTGTCTCCCTCTCCCTCCCTCTCCCTCTCTCTCTCTCTCTGTCACTCACG